CTGTTGACCACAACTCTTTGACTATAATAACTCGGAGCTCTCACTTGTAGGTTTGCTGCACCTTTAGAGGAGGAATTCCTTATTGCTAGCCAGTTATCTTAATTCATACTTAACTCAGGACGTATTAAAATAAAATACAATGTTGTATAATTGTAATTTATTCATACCATTCAAACATATCGTGTTTATAAAGAAGATACAAGCATAGAAATGAAAGAAAAATTAGTGTATTTACAGTCAGGTACAGCAGGTAAGTCTGTCCCCTATTCGATTCTCTTTTACTCCTGAAAACAGTAGTTTGGTTTCAGGTTTTGCACATTCCTTCCCTCTTGTAAGGCATTTATTTGGTCATCTGCTGCTACAAGAGACTTACCTGTGTGGAGTGCTTCTATCAAAGAACACTTTTCCTCCCATCCTCCCATCGCTTCCTCCTCTCCATGGATTATACATTACCTCTTCTAGCCTGTCCTCCCTTTGAAATCTCCTAAGAGGTTGACAGGTCTTTCATCTCCAAACACAATCTATTCCATCTTTAACCAGAAATCAGGCTGGACACTTTTTTAATTAAAATAAAGGTTCATTTCATTCCTTAGGTATGTTGATGGGGAAGGTGTGTGCATGTGTAGATTCTAAGCAATCTCTTGCATTTAACTGTTTGAATAAAAAAAATAAAAGAAATTTTAAAAAAGGAAAGAACCCTTTCTTTGCATCCCTGTGGGAGAATATCCCGTTCTTCCCTGAGGACTGCTCAGGACTTTTCAACATGTCATGTCTCTCTCATTTAACTTTGTTTTCTGTATTAATCTATACATTATACACAGAACAAGCATTTAAATAGGATTGTTGTATATAGTGCATTACTGACTCCAGATTGAGATTAGACATGACAGCAACTGACTGCTTCGAGTTGAAAATGGTTTAGAGTGACTGATCACCAATCTCTAAGGCACATAATGCCAATGCTTAACAAACTTTTACACTAAAAAATCCTGCTCAAGTGACAACCTTTGGACTGAAATCACAAATTAGATATAAAATCATCTCTTCTGTCTTGAATTTGTCCTGAAGTGTTAGCTCCAAATTACACTGACACAAAGAACATACCAAATTGAAACATATTTAGAGAATATGTATAAATAAAGCACACAGAATTGCTATAGCATTTCAGGTTGTTATGGAAACAGAGGGAAGTGCAGGTCTCTTCCCCTGCCCATAATTGACAATTTGGAAATCCAGTGTCTTAATTGCACAATACCCTTCTTGCCTCTCCCCTCACTTGCTAATCCTCCAGATATTTCTCTGTTGGTTTCTTATATTAAGATATCGTTGTTTATGTCTGATATTTTGAAACTAATATTAAATCTCTTCCAGCCAACATATCAATTGTAGACATAGACACTAATGAAGAAGAGACCATAGCAACAACTTCTACAGGCAGCCACTTTGGGCTCAACTTAAAAGGCCATGAGAAAATATATTTTGGGGGACTGCCAACCCTGAGAAATCTAAGGTAAAGTGGCTCAACCCAATTTCTTTACTTTTAGTAAGGGAATGTAAATGCAGTGTAATCCCATTCTCTGTACCTGTTTCTCAAGTTCACTTGCAGTAAGTGAATGGTGAGTTCCAAACGTACCCTTTATTGCCACAGCAGACCAACACTTTATTTGCATATGCTGTGTATTTCAGTGTATTTCATGCAGCTCACATTACACAAATACAATGGAAATAGCAGTAACAGTGCAGTGCATCTTACTGATGCTGTGCAAGAACCATGATGTAGCTGATTTTTTAAGGGGTTTTTTTGTCTGATGAATTGAATTTGTGACTTTAGACTTAGAGAAATAGCTCCATACCTCCACAAATTTAAGCACAAGTGTTTACCTTCTGCACGAATAGAGAAATTGAACTACAAACTACTCCTCATGGGATTGCTGTTAAATGACTATGCATGTTTTTTCATAACGTGGGTATATTTTCAATACATATAAAAATAAAGTGTTTAGATATCATTTAAAATTATTTATAGACATAATTTTCCTGGACTCCTTAGATTAAATTCCTCCTGTATTCAGGAATTAAAGTATATGATAAAATACTCTTGATATATTTAATGTAAGTAAAATGAAAATACGCAACCTTTTCCTTTCAGAAGCCTGATCTTGAATTTCTTAATGCAAATAAAATTACCAGTATTTATTTTTAAAATATTGAATAATATTATTGATTAACTTAAGCTTTAATAAACTAAAGAAGTGTGATAACAGGTACTTGAATTTAGTGACTGTATTACCTGGGTTCAAGCAGACCAAAAACTTACTTAAGGTTTAAATGAATATTCAGCAGTTTTGCAATGACAAGAGAATTCTGTGCTACAAGGAACAGATGAACAACACAGAAACAAGCTCATTAATCTATGTCAGCTTTAGCTACATGGCATGACAGCCTTGAAGTGGTCTTGTGCACAAGAAACTGTTGTGATTAGCCCACAGGCTGTTCTGTAACTAAAAGAATGGACTTTTTTGTTAATTTATTAGGTTAATAACTGACCTCTGATGTCAAATCACCCAGCAATAAAAAGGTCTAAAATCTATTTTACTCATGAAATATAACACTGTATTATGTAATTGTGAAATCACACCAGTGCATAACAAAATGTTTAGAGCAATTATCTTCCAGCAAATCCTTTGTGGATGCTTACAAAATCAGTGTACCACAGCTACTTGGACCTGTGGTAATCATTTTGCCTACAGCTATGAGTCACTGGGGCAAGATGAATGTTATGGTAAATTAGAATCAAAAGTAGTGAAAAGGAGATTAGGGCAAAGCTGATCTACTGCAAACAATAGATGCTGAGGTACCCATGAGTTTGTAATTATCAGATTGTATCAGTCCGGACAAATTCCTTTACATGGTTTGCTTTTACACATGACCAAGTATAGCAACAAATTATAAAAGCTCTCTGATAGATTACATTTTAAGGTAGCTGTTTGCAGAGTAACCTGATAGTGTATCTAGAATCTCACTCTCTATTATATGTTGTTTGTAAATGATGTATATCTGCTTCACTGTGAAATATTTGGAACCTTGCTAATAGGTATCATTTGCTACAATTAATGTAATTTTGATTTTTTTTTTTTTTTTGTCTTTCTCTTTCCTCCTAGTATGAAAGCAAGGTAAACATAATCAGATTACTTGCATGACTTGCATGTGTCTAGTAAGCGCAGCTTGAAAGCACAGGCAGCAACGCAGAAGCAGCGTGTGGGCAGTATTTATACCAGCTGTTACGCTAAGGCTGTTAATTCAGCGAGTTGCTCCTGCTGCAACAAGCAAAACTGCTCCCAAGTGCTTAACACTGTCATGGTACATGCTGTGCACACACCTACACAAACAACTTTTCTTCACGCAGCTGCTTGCTTCAGCTGTTTGTTTCTGACACTGGAATGCCTCGGAAGCAGAGCCATGGCAAGCTCTATGGCAGAGTTTGATTCTGGCCTCCAGGCTTGTAAGGGCAACTTAGTCCCGGGTCAGGTGAGGAGCTCTGCACTCTGAGGCAGTGAAGTAGCCACTGAGGAGGGTATGAAAGCAAGGTGCAGTTTTTTGTGAAATCTGCCACTTCTGAGTTTAAGAATAGGGGGGTAGGGGAGGTCATCTATTTCTGTTTCCAGTTTGCAACTACTTGTGTCCATTACTTTTGCTTTGATATGCTCAGATATGAACTGAACTTCACTATGTTTTGCAACTTAATTCCTGGCTTGAATTAGAAAAATACCATTTCCTCCACAGTACTGAGAAAGATTATTTTCTCCCAAGCTCCAGAATTTTTTTCTTGTGTTCCCTTGAAACTTAGTTTGGAAAAAAAACCTGCCAAGAAATTATGCAAGATCTGAACGAACTTGGACCTTGTTTTATATGTTTTGGAAGGGAACAAGGGCTAAAGGAAGTCATAGGAAAACATGAAGCAAGTGTTCCATGTTTGCAAGGATGTAAAGTTCATACGGGTTGGGAATTATAAGGTAACAGCAACTACTTGTAACAGGACAGCATGAGGGCAGTCTGGAATTGGGGAGAGCAGGAAGGGGGTAGGAACCATCCTCTGGATGGCAAAGACAGGAGAGTGTGGGCACTGCTGACAAAGCCATGACAAAACTCTTCTGTTGCTGGGAAGGTTAGTCTATAAAGGAACTGGGGAAGAGCTAGGAAATAAAAAATCAAAAATGAAAGGTGACGATAACTACATCACTGTAAATAAAGCAGAATACAGATTATTTTAGTAAAATAGGTGCTTACTTTCAGGAATGTAAATTTGCCAGAGAATACACCATGCTTGCTAGGATGGCTATAATGCAAAGAATGGCTTTCAGTACCAAAACATGCAGCTGAACAGTATCTGTGCAAAATGGTTTTATTTTCTAATTAATATTCTTTAAAATCTTTTCTTTCCTTCCAGGGAGCTAAGTGTTTGGATTTTTTTTCTCCCTGCAGTTTTAACTCCTTGTTTACTTTCCAAATTAATTTTTCTTTCTTTGAGTTGTTCATATTATTCAGATATTCTACTAAACACTCAAGGGTAATATTGTGAGTGAATTAACTAGTGTTTTTTTTTCTTTTTGGATTTATACTCCATAATATTAATGGCAACTTTTTACCTGAAATGGCTTTATAAGGCTTTTCTTGTTGCAAGCCTGGTTCAGATGTTGCCAGCAGTTGTAGTCTCACTCTGGTGTTTCCAGGCCTGGGAAATCAATGCTAGTTTTGGTGTTACTTTCAGGGGTTTTCCCATTTCTTCTGGCAACCAGCTGATAAGCCAAACTATGGAACTTTGCATTTCTATTAAATTTTCTGTTTTCCTGTCTTGGATGGATAGTTTTTTCTATAGCTTTCTGTAGCAAACCCAAGTGGTTTTTTTTAATTTAACTATCTGAGAAAATCAAGTGCATTGCTGTGTCAAAAGAAAATGTGCAGCAATTTTCATAGAAGATACTTGGAATATAAATTACATAGAAAACAAATGTAAGTCCACCTGAACATAAAGAATTCCTAAAGCATAATTTTTTAAAATTTTTTTTCAGTCTTTGGTAAAGACTTTATACAAAATGTTTGTGTGCTGCTAAAGTTCCTCTTCCATTGGCATCTAGCATGCAAAAAGATGAATTAAACATCTGTCTTCCAGTTAAGCTCTCCTTATTGTTATGATTTCCTAGCTTGCATCTTTCTGCTTTGCCTAAGGAACAACTACTTACTCACTGCATTTAAACACCAAAGGTGACAGTGCTCCTTTACCAAAAACAAAAACAACAAGAAAAAAACTACCCCATCTGTGAAAGAAAAGAAAAAATGGAAAAGAGGACAGTTGTCAATTGGAGATGAGATGAATCTCCTGATACACCTTTGAGTGATGCAAGGCAGAGTACCATATGTGCTGATAGGTGGTAGAAAGCAAGATGTATTCATTTGAGTGTATATAAAAAAAATCAAGCCTCTGTGCGTCTGGAAGTGCATGTGTGTGTGTCTGGCTGATGGTGTTCTCTATTTGTGATCTATTTTTGAAAATACATTGTACTTCTACATTTATTTTTTTTTAGGCCTGAAGTGAACTTAAAGAAATATACAGGCTGCATGAAAGAGATTGAAATTTCAAGGACACCGTATAATATATTGAGTAGTCCTGATTTTGTTGGTCTAACCAAAGGATGCACACTAGAGGTTAGTCTGACTTCCATATATTCTGTTCTTAATGGGTATAAATGTTTTCTGATTTCTGGTTTTATGGCATAATATATTAGTTGTATAAGGCATATTCAGACACACATAAGGATCTAACCTGAAAATCAGAATGGTTATGTCTAAGAGAAAGAAAGATGAATGAGTTTTATCAGCAAGTAGACCAGTTTTCCAGATCCTAACTTTTTGGACATTATCACTGGACAGTTGTGATATCCCCTATCCCTAAAGGGTAGGATTTTCTGAAATACTTAGCAGTGGTTTAGCTTTGTTTCAGCTGACCTAAATGGGAAGTATTGACATTAATGAGGATAGAATTAGGCACTGATAATGCAAAAACCTTTAAAAATGTTAATGCACACAAAACCCAATTATTTAAATTATTTTTCTAAAAAAATGTTGTTATAAAATCATTCCCTACAGAAAACCTGAGGTACTTTGAAAAACACAGTATATTTGGGGGTAACTGAAACAAAGTCACCTTTAGCATAGGAACTGTAGAGCACTGTTCCAAGCTACCACTGAGCTGGAATGCACGTTGCTTACGGATCACTACAAATGTGCAAAATTGGTGTCATTATTTTAACTTTAAATACAGCTCAAATATATTCATTTTGAATCATTTCTGCTTCTAATTAACAGACTTTCAATGCATATAAAATTCAAGGAATATCATCCTAAGTTTGGGAGAGAATATAGTAATTTTGCATGGGAAAAGAAGAGTCTTCATATATAGAAAAAATATTTCCAGTGACCTATGTCTCCCAATAAAAAGTTTGTATTCTTCCCTGGAAATGTGTGCTATTTAAGATAGTTTTGCAAACAGATATATGATCTAGAGTTCCATATCAGATACCACTACAGCAAACCCAAATGAGATGTTGTTAACCTGATGCCCCAAACATTTTTCTACAAAACACTGAAAATTTCCTCTGAACAGTGACTGGAACTTGGCCAGGCCAAAATAAAGCTGAGTACCCTCTTTTGGTGTATTTGTCACTTCTACCTCTGGCCTTCATTAGAGCAAAAGAAACACAACAATAGGACTAGATGCTCTTTTGAGGTCCTTTCCAATCCCTAATATTCTGTGATTCTGTGATTCTGTGTGACTCAGACAGGATATTAGACCAGATGAATCTGTCATGAGATGGCCATTTTTAAGTTTTCAGGTTTGTGATAAAGCTAGACTGTAAACAATCAGATTCCTCAAATGCAATCTTACAAATTTGGATTCAGCAAAAATTTTCAACAAAAATTTCTATTTGTTTTGATTTATTGTAGATGCTTTCCTGAATAGGAAAGGACAGTTGTATTCATTTTCTTCTGTTTTTATGAATCTTAGAAAGTACTTTTGTTTTTCATGTTATTTTGTAACTCTTGGGGTTTCAGAGTATGAAGTCTAATTGAATTTACCATTTTGTTGGGGAATTAAGTAAAATATTCTAATTGTACAAAACAGGATATGTAGGATAATTAAAAAGAAGTGAAATAAAAGCGAAAGATAAAAATTGGATATACACTTAGTTATTTAAGTGCCTAGAAAGCACTTAGAAAGGTGAATATCATCAGCAGTTATTTTATCTGGCATAATCTATTATCTCTAGACCTGAAAACAGTTCTTCTGTACTAAAAAACTTGTGAGTTATTTCAGAAAAAGTCACTGTTTCTATAGACTGGTCTTCTGCAGCTGGAAGAGTACAAGAATTCGCAGAAAATCTTCAGGAGTATGCCCTGATTTATTATGATGACATATTCTACTCTTTAAATTGTATTGATGGCTACCAATGTCCAAAGAGTTGGGCCATGCACAACAAGTGCTTCATTTATGAGCCTGAGTCATCAAGAAAGCAGTGGTGCTTAGTGAAGAAATAATAATGAAGCAATAATGACTGATTAATGGAAAGTATTTTCTGGGCACATTTAACAAATAATAGAAGCTAGTTTATGTTCATATTGGCTGTTGTTATCTGTTGTATTGATTTAAAAGCAAAATCCTATTGTATTAACTCAATGGAAAACATCCATTAAAAAAAAACCACCTGTGAGGAGTTATTTTTAATCCAAGAGGATATACCAAAATAAGACTGGAACTTTGCCTTCCTCTAAGATGGGATTCCAGAAATGCTCTAATGACACCAGATGTAAACAGGTAAATTAATGTTTGCACAACACTTTGAGAAGTAAATTGCTTAGTGTTTGTTATTGCTTCCCATCTCTTCACACTGGTTATATTTACATGGTTTATTACTTTAGTTAAGAAATCTTTCTGCATGTTCATACTCTTGCTTTTAATCCTACTAATGCACTTTCCTGTCCTCTTCTTCCTACAGAACATTTTTACAGTTAGCTTCCCCAAGCCAGGTTTTGTTGAACTGCAGCCTGTCTCCTTTGACATGGGCACAGAAATCAACCTCTCCTTCAGCACCAAGAATGAGTCTGGGATCATCTTGTTTGGCACAAGTGGCACAGTTGTCCCTCCCAGGAGAAAGCGCAGATACACTGGAAGGACAGCTGCCCCTCTGAGGAGAAGGCGCAGACAGACGGGACAGGTATGAGGAACCTAGCAAAAAATAAAGAAAACCCACAATTTTATTAAACTTCTCCCACTTAGTTCGTTCAAGACACTGTAAGATGTTTATATTTAAGTTAAAATTCAGTGCTTGGGAATAAATTATTTCTAGTGTTATCTTTATCTGATGGGGAATCTGATAGAGGCTCAAAATTGGTTTGGATTGTTTTGTTTTTTGGTTTGGGGTTTTTTTGGAGTAACTGTTTCTCTTGAAGATTTACAGTAAGGCATCCATTGTTTGTGGCTAAACAACAGCAGATTTGGTTTTCTATCATATAGATGTTTCCATGTTGTTTATTTAATCAAACCTAAATATTAGAGAATTGTGTTCTTCAGTCATTCTGAGGACTACTTAGACACTATTAATGCTTGGAAACATCTCTCATTCCTGTTCATGAGGATAATTCGGTTTCCCCTGAGACCAAAAAAAAAAAAGGCTTCTAAAAGCAGTGCAAGATAAGCCCCTTGTTTGGGATTACTGCTGTGGGATATAAGGCTTAAGTGTGCTCCAGCATCATCTTCTCTCCTATAAAATACAAATCTGTAGTATAAGTCCTTTGTGAAGAAGAGGATCGAGTCAGTCTATTCAGAGGAAGTACCTACAGAGTCCAAGTGACTAACTGCTAAAAGTGTGACTGGTGTTAGAAATTATTCACATCTTGAATAATTAAAAGCCTCACAGACAAACATATTATAACAGAGATAAACAGAATATTTTGGTGCTTTCTTTGTTCAAGGCTTCTGGGAAGTGATATTTCATTATTCTCCTTCCTGCCTGCTTTAGAAGAGACTTCTCAGTGACCTGGAGGAACACGCTCAAGGGACAACACATTATAATGGCTCACTGACATGACATTAACTTCAGAGTAGGGGCTCCTTTATCATTACCCAGCTTTTGAGGTCACAGAAGTGAGCATGACACTCATTGCTATAGTAACCGGAGGTTAGATCTTGAAGTCCACTACAACATGATATTGGTTGCTAGAGTAACTACTAGCATGACTTGCTAGCCCTCCAAATGCAGAACTCACATGATCAGTGCTATTCAGGGCTTGATGGGTTTAAGACCAGCTCTCATAACAGCAAAAATCAGAAGAATTGCAGGTTAGAAGTCTCCATCCTTCCCTGCAAATAGGCATGCAGAGAGTCAAATCTTTAGATGAGGCTTTCCATCATGACCACATTTTACCCTTCCTCATTATAAAAATACAAGAGTCTGAATACAGCAGCAGCAGAACCAAAACTACAGTATCTTTACCATGGTGAGCAGATTAAAAACCACTGTAAGAAAAATAAAACATATGCACTAATGTAAAACTAAGTGAAATAATTTCTTTCCAAATGTAACTTACCTTTTCATACCAACATGTACATTGCAGGCCTACTATGCAGTGTTCCTGAACAGAGGTCGACTGGAAGTGCATATCTCCACTGGGATACGGGATCCCCACAGAATCACCATCAAACCAGAAGCTGGCGAGTTTCATGATGGCAGAGCACACTCCATCCGGATAGAAAGAGCTAAAGGGTAACAAATACCTACAAGTGCTACAGACCACCAAGTGCTACCAAGTTTTTAGGAGTCAGTTTCTGACAGTGCATGTTATTCTGCAGATCTGGGTTTACATGCTTTCATAGGCTGTCAGCCTGTTTCTCCAGAGACCTGCATTCATCTGAATTGGCATCTTTAATCTTTTGGTAGTTGGCAAATATATTTTATTAATCAAATCTGTGGACGAAAAATACTCCTGCGGTGCAGTAAATCACATTTTCAAGACATGTAGAAAAAAAACATTTTCAAAGCATATAAAGAGCAACAGCGCAGCAGCCTGTAACCTTTTTGAGATGCCATGTGCTGGTGTATATGCAGAGGGTTATGGTGGGGCCCAGCTAAATAAGGTAAAACAATGAAGACGCAGAGTGCCATATAAATGGCAGTCATTCTGATGGCTGGAAAGCCACCGCAGACCTTCTCAGACTATGTTATTTTAAGCAGAATTTCACTTAAATTCCTTTGTCCTTTCCCAGACATTGTAAAAAATGCTAATTACACTTCACCATTCAGAAAGTGATTACAATGGCACTACTGTAGTGTGTAGGACTCAGGCAGTCACTAATATTTATGGTCTGGAATAGCTCTTGTTCCAAGTAGGATTTGTTGTGGACTTTTGGACGTAGAAATGTGTACATACTGTACAGACATTCAGTGGATTAGTGGATTAGTGCACTGTACAGAATGTTGTTCTGTTTTGTTTGCACGAAAATCAGAAAGAAGATTTGACATCCAGCACATTACAAAATGTCCTTATCCAAGTGCACCATACACTAGGCTTCATCCTCTCACCTCCACAGCATTGCAGCCTTCTTGAGCAACAATTCCTGTCTGTCTAGTCCTGAGATGCCCTTCTGTCCTCTCTATAATTTGCTTTGCTTTGCTTTGCTTTGTCCTTTGTCAGTATGATTTTCTGACTGAATTTCTATTGTATCGTTAAAAAAACCTTATAAATAATGCCTTCAGACAGTATCTCTCCCCAGCTTCAATGACTGGTTTGAGAAAAAACTGCAAATTCTTTGGGAGAAAATGTTATTTTGGAAATGGATCATTTTGTCACTGTGACAGAACACAAATATGCAGATAATAATAAGAAGTTCTAATCAACAAAGAAAGTTCTTTTATGCAGTGCTGTGACAAGTACAGTAGCTTGACCTGTGAGAGTACATCAAGTCACAATTGCTGCACAATGCCATCCAGTGATGACTCTTGTTCAGATGAAACCCCTGTTTTTTCAGAGTAGCTCTGTTACAATCAGATTGTCTGAACTCCACAGTTTCTGTAACCTGAAATGGATGTGAAAGATAGAAATTAAGATTAATCCCTCCTCTGTTCATCATGAATTTAAGCTTTATTTGATTAAATAAGAGGAACACCCTTTGAAAACTCTTCGGAGAGATAATAGTCCATATAATTATGAAGTATTTGCTTTTTCTTCCAAGGTAATTATAGGATACTGTTGAAGACTAATGCAAATCATTGTATGGTTCTGCTTGGAGGCAAAATGTTTACTATGGTAATGGCTAAAGATGAGATTAAATATTGCATGGTGATGGAAAATATTGACAATCAGTGGCAATGACTAACATGCAGCAGCAGAAAGGATAACTTGAGTCTTGACAATGTGATTCCCCTACACTTCCCCTGCAAGCAATAGAGATAAGCGTCCTCTCTGGGACACTTCATAGAACCTAAATTAGTCTGTTGCTCTGAAGTGCCCCCGGAGAAATCTCTCTCTTTCTGTTTCCGCTGCTGAAGGGTCTGGGGGAAATCCTAGAGACTGTCTTGAAAGGTAAGTCTTGTTATAGTCACTGCCCCCAACCCTTTGAAAAATGAACCACTTTCTTACTCTACAGCTTTCTAGACAAAATGAATCAGTCCAAAACTATGAGGAAATTGGATGGTTTGCATGTAGTAAAACAGTTATCTAATTGCACCTAATCTAAGGTGCTTAAGTCACAATTTAGTTCTGTCTAGGACTTGTATAAATAAAAAAGCCAAGCATTTTACGTATGAAAATTGGCCTCTTTTCAATAAACATTTTCAATATTCAGTTTCTAGCATTTGTTATTATTTTTAAGCAAGAATATTGGAGTTCAATATAATTTTGCAGTTGAAAAAAGGTTATTTGCTAGAAACTGATTATTTCTGATGCATCATAGACTGCTTAGCGATTCTGAAATATCAAAGTACTTACCTATATATACCCAACCTGGGTTTAGATAAGTAATTGTAGTCACAGATGCTTGAATAGTTAGGTCCTGATGTTTAGCATGACTGTAACATATTTGAAATAAAACCTGATCTTCACAAATCATATCAGGGTTTACCAGAAACATATATATCTTTTTTTGTGATCTTGATTGTCTCCTGGCTAAATTCTATTAAATATAATCTAACAACACAAAGAAATTATGCCACCTAGCATTCTACATTCATCTTCAGAAATACTGAAGTTCTCATCCGTCCTTTGAGACTCAGTTTACCTTGAGCTAGATTTGCTCAGAAGTTGGAGATTTTCTATGTTTTATAGATGGTAAATTTTCCTAAAGACAGCAGATAAATTTCTGACTGTCATTGCTATACATTGTTTTATACGTTACCCATCAAAATAATCTAGTCTTGCAATTCCACAGTCTTTGCATTAACACTGCTTTCTCAGTATACACAATGGCAAACTAGTTTTTCACTTTCTGTCCCCTTTACCATGTTTCCCTGTAAATGTGGTACAAACCTGCAACGTTTGCATCTCAGTAGCCTTGACAGGCAAGTGCATTCAGCTTTTCTCTCACATTTGGATTATTGCTTTTACCAGAATAATGCCCTTCACTGTATTTACCCCTTTCCTCTTTGCTCTGACTTGGCTTGGTCAGACAGTGGTGCTGTGCTTCAGAAGCTTCTGCTTTCCTCTATTCAGCCTTAACAGTATCTTCCATGGACCTGCTTTGTCTTTAACTTGTAGCATGTGCATTACTGATGAGGACAAATTATAGCAGTACATGGTGAACAATCATCAATTCTCCTACTTTGCTGTCTGCCCCAGAAAACAGCTACCAGATCTTTTAAAAAGTCTGCAGTATGTATCTGTGGTTGATTCTGCAATCAGAGCAGTCTGTGGCAATGTTTGTCCCTCAGCAAGAAGATAACAACTTGTACAAACCAGGAAATAGGGAGCCCGAACAAAAAGTGACCCCATGCTGTTCCCATCCTGCGGAGCGCTAGACAATTATACCTACCATCAGAGTGCAGCAGGCTGGGCTCTTACCACGTCACTGCTGCCACCCTACAAACCACTCCTTCCTCTTCGACCAGTGACTGATATTATCACCTCTCCGCAGCACGGCTTTGCCAAGCTCTGTCAGAGAACTACTGAGGAAGCATAGCAGTAGCTGAAAACCTTCTAGTGGTTAATTTGCATTTAATGTGAGCTGATAATTACATAATTTTGGTTGCTCAGTGATACTGCTAATGTAGGAGTAAATGAGGCCTGCAAAGTGGTGATTTCAATACAAGCAATAACCAGAGTAAAATATGTATTTCTTTGCTTTCATATACTTTTCACAGGATCTTCACTGTTCAAGTAGATGAAGACAAAGGCCAGACCCAGAGACTGCCAACAGACCATCCCATCTCTGTTAAGAAGCTCTTTGTGGGGGGTACTTCTTCTCAGTTTCACACCGCACCTCTCAGAAACATACCACCATTTGAGGGCTGTATATGGAACCTTGTCATTAATGCCACGTAAGTCTCACTGATGCCAACAGATGTCCAGTTAATGAGGTCTGGTTAACTACCTTGGCTGCCAAAAGAAACTACATTGTTGCAAGGAATCATACTAACAGCAAATCCTAGAATATTATCTGTTTTCTTAATATGCCCTGCCTTTTTTTTGTCTACAATATACACTCAGGCTATACAATTAAGGAACTAATACCTGCTTATTTATCCATAAAATCTAAAAAATTCAACAGCAATGCCGCAGTAAGACTTGCCTCAGTGATAGGTATGTATGGTATACCATAATACTTTGAGTAAGGTTGATCTCCAAAAGTATACAAATTCTGAGAACCACCATGGGGATTAATTTGCTTTGTGGAAAGTGCATGCTGCAGTAATCTGGAAGGAACATGTAAGTAAAGAGAAAAGGAAGGGTGAATAAAGTAAAACCTCTATAGAAGGTTCCCATCTAAATCTTTCTTTAGAGAGGTGATAGATGCTCCATCTATGGAAACATTCAAGGTCAGGCTAGACAGGGCTCTGAGCAACCTGATCTAGTTGAAGATGTCCCTGCTCACAGCAGGGGGGTTGAACCCTTCCAACCCAAACCATTCTATGACTCCATAACTTAAGTATCTAAATTAGGATCTCATCACCCCACACTCCATCAATGCACATCAGAGAAAAGGACTTCTCTGCAATATGATTCAGCCTACCTAGGCTGGTAAAGCTTGCCAGAGAGGATGCCTGTCTCTCTGCACTGACTGTAGGAAGGAAAGACGATGATGTCCCACTTCTGTACCTAAACCAGATAGGATGAATCCTGGCTCTTGTGTCCTGCAAAGAGGAATTACACTGCAACATATAGCTATTATTTACAAACGGGTGGTAAAAAGGCAGCAAAACTAATAACAGATCAATTTCTTTGTCTGTTCTCAGCCCCATGGACTTTGCTCAACCTGTGTCGTTTGAAAATGCAGATATTGGCCGATGTCCCTCTCTAGAACCAGAGCTTAGGCCACCTGAGGATGAAGATAAACCAATCCATGCAACAGCCTTCATCCAACCTGGACCAGACACTAATGGGGAGAAAGAAAGACCCAGGACTCCTCCTACTTCCCCTCCTCCACCAACACCATCTCTATCTTCAGCACTTGTAAGTCTAGATCACTTCATTCAGGAGAAGTTTATTTTTTCCAGGCAAAACTGAAAAGCTAGCCATCAAGAGTAATGAAGTAATTTGCCACAAAACCAGTAACAATTCAGCATGATATTGTAAAGGGAACACCTTGTTACAGGTCAGTAAAACCCCTGGATAATGGAAAAATGGTTGATGTCATTTGCTTGGATTATCACAACAGTAATTAAAACAATGATATAGCAGTAGAATTCTTTTTGGCTTGCATGCTTAGCCACAAACCCTTGCACTTCAGGATGTAAACTGAGCAATATCCAACTGAGGTTGGAAGGGAAATTTTCCTATGGGAAATCCATGACTTTATGATATTTCTTGTGCTGTTCTCTGAAGCATATGGCAACAGCCATGTCAGTGACAGGATGAAGAAACAGGTAAACCAGAGAGGTCTGTTTGATATGACAGTTCCTCCACTGCTATTTTATAACTTCAGTCAGGACACTTACAAACTTAACTGAAACCCCAGTCACTGCTAAACTGAGCTCAGATGTTGTTACCAGAAATCTTAAATAGCTAGATAGTGGCAAGCAGTCTTATACAATGAAATTTAAGAAGAAACTTCTTCTGTCACAAGTGTAGCAGTTTTACAAGCTGATGCAACATATTACTGTCCAGAAAATATATGTTTAGCTATCTGAATATTAAACTCAATAATGCATCCACTGGAAGATATTCTTGTGGGGGACATCCTTTGCATTTTATTACACCTGCATACAACCCACAGGTTTATGCAGGATACAGTTCAGTATGGGTGAGGCTTCCAAACAGTGTGAAAAGACTGCACATTTCCCACGTAGGAGCCTATTTACACTACCATAATTTACACTATCATAATAAGACAGTTTTGAGAAGTTAACAACTGGAATATTTAAATCCCCTTTTTCTATTTATCAAATACAGGAGTCAATAGTCTTGACATTTTCTCCCAGACTGGCTTCGTAAGATCTTTTAACCATTTTGGGAGGTATTCCCACGCTCAATCAGGTTTAATCTTCATTCCTATTTCACTCCTCCTCACTGACACAACATTACAGAGATTAAGATTATCAATTAATTGCACGAAGACCAGGGAAAAAAAAGAAAAAAAAAAAAAAAAAAGGAGTTGTGATTTTCAGTGAGTCAGTTGGCTGTAAATTTGTCAGAGACAAAGGAACCTGAATTTATTGATGCTGTCACTCCCTGTTACCTGACTCGTTTTCAGAATTAATATCTGATTTTCCTTGGACATAGGTAGGATTTCTAACAGTGTTTTTCTACAAAAAAGTGGTACAAAAATTAGGTCAAAAGGACTAACACATTAAGGTTAATTTTATGTTTGAGATTCATGGCCACATTCATTGGCCAGGTACACATGGCACAGCTTTATCTAGAAAGAATGTCAGGCACTACTGAACTCTCCACAGCACATGCAGCCATCTCTGTACTTGGAAATGGGATCCTGGGGTTCAAGATAGTCAAGCTCCATCTTTGTTACTACCTGCCTCAAGCCCCAGAGCTCTATGTTAGTGGCTTTTAATGCTCTAGGGCAGCATTTTTTATTCATCCCACAAGGTGGAGTAGTTGTAACACGAGGGCTTCAATGCATCCTTCTGTTTGGAGTTGAAAGTAAGCATATTTGAAGTAAGGCTACCATAGAAAGATAAGGAGCCAGGCAACAACAAGGTAAAAGGAGTTATGAAGTTTAACACTCACTGTTGTGAAAGAGTGCAGTCATATTATCCCTTGACCAAGCATTATAAACAAAGTAAAAATCTACAGAAGCACATGAGAAAGCAAGTGCACACTTTCTAAGACCCTAAGCACTAACTTTTATATAGCAAAATTAAGAGAAATAGATCTACTCAGTAATAACAGAAAGTAGTCCCATTGTAACCAGGTGAGTTTTGTATGTGACATATCTAGAGCCGTGATAACTTGACATAGGAGTTCAAAATAAAAATCTAAATAAAACACTATTACTCTACTTTCTCTCTTGGAAAAATGAAACTGTTCTAGTATTCTGAAGACTTGAAAGTATTTAAAATAAGGCAAGCTTTTGCATAGCTTTTATGTTCATCTAAGTTCTCCAAAGTAATTTTCTGGGGAATATTGCAACAAAAGAAGTAACTACAGTTTAATACTGAGATAGCGCTCATATGCCAGTTAATTATATAGAAGCTCAGTGTAGAATTGTACATGGAAAATATACAACATAAAAAAAATATATTTCACATAGTAGGCTTAATAAGGTATCCGTTCTACTTAAGTCCTTTTAGGACTTTTTTATCTCTATTATCCATCTGCATGTAAAAGGGGAAGGGGAATTTAATCTCAAGTGAAAGAAACCTTCCCTGTACTAAAGGCAAGACAAGGTCTAAAAGTAGGACATGTGGGAAATACACTGGTCACCAGTCTGCTGCTGCTGCTTGCTATGGATGCCAAAATGTTTCTCAACGATTGGTAACTGCTGCTTCTGCCTCATGTTATTCACTGCTTCTCAGGACTCGCTTGCCACTGAAATGAAGAGCGCCAGCATTCCTTCTGCATTTGACTCCGTGACGGTATTTTCCATTTCTCCATGCATTACTCCATTGTTTTATTAACACTATTCAGTGAGCTGTGGGGACTGCTTCAGTGGTGCTCCCTTTTGCCCCTAATTACTTTCTTTGTAATTGCTAATACTGCATTGTTTGGAGAGAATGTGTGACAGTCCACCAGTGGGCTCTTCTATTCTTCATTTCCACTGTGATACACACCTAGCTTCTTGATTTACCAGTCCAGTCCCTGACATCTGGCGAGATGAAAGTAAAGTGCAGCTGAAGAGTTCAGTCTTGAGGCTCTTGGGTAGTATGGGAGATTATTAAACAGCCAGATTTAAACCTGGGACCTTAAAGTCATTACTGAAAAAACAAAGCTGGGATATTTTAATACAGGCTGATCATCCATCTAGTCTTGTGAAGGCTGTAAAGCTGGCTGTCCTTAGATATAGTGAAAGCAGACACAATTCAATTTGCTGTCAGAATATGTCCTTTTACCGTGTAATATGTAAAAGTGTGCCACAGAAAAGTGTGCTAGTCCATTTTCCAATTCTTTCCTGTTGTTCTTGTAGGACTGTAGTTAGTCCCGATCTTCAAATTTGAGCAAGCCCAAATGCTATTGAAAGTATTATATACACAGTATTATTATTAACATAGTGGTTAAACTTCTAGATAAACCTATAAAGCTTAAAATAATTAGAAACTTTACCCAGCACTATAAGAATGTGATTTTTTTTTTTCCTATTTGAGGATCACTGGAAGATTGCTATCACATATTCATAACTTTGGTCCTGCTGGATTTTCCCCGTTTATTCCCTCCATTGCACATTGATGTGTGCTTGTTGTAATGCATGGTATTCTAGTCTGTCATATTCAAACCAGAGCAGTCATTATGGAAAACTAATTTTTAGAAGTGCTTTATACTGTTGTGAAGGCTTTTGTGACATGTGAAAGCAAAAAATATAACACTACTGAAAAACTGAGTGTGAAGGGAAAAGAAAGTTCCTCTTAACTGCTGAAATATCTGTGCCTGATGAGTCACTCATGACATTTTCAAAATGTTTCACAGAAAGAGCTCTTTGTCAGCAAAGCACCACACCTTGTGCTTTGCAGGTCCCTGCTGAGTCAGGGCTCAAATAAGAGACTGTCGCCAGTTCAAAATGTTTTTAAGCCACAGTGCTTAAAAACAGAGCTGGCAGCTATCAAAGTTTGGGTTTTTTTTCCCAGTGGTATTGCCCTGATATTGTGTTGTGTTAGATCCTTTGAGTAGTTTCTTCACAATGCTCTCAGTGGGAGGCAGAAGCCAGACATGAGTAGGAGCTGGTAATTACCATGGTCTCGCATTACCCCAGGCACCACTATACAAGAGCTTTAGGGCCAGAGATTAAAAGACCTGGTGAAATTAAAAAGAGAAAATTATACTGGGCAGAAGATATTTTACCTTCCATTGTTGCTCCACTTTAAGATAAATAGAAGTGGAACAGACAGGGAGGGGCTTCTTTCTTTATCCCCTGGGTAATGTGTCTGCATGAGACAGCTTAGGGAGTTTAACAGTTGTTATTTCTATCCATCAGTTATCCGGCTTCCCTTATTGTTTGGGGGGGGCTTTCCACAGCACCAAGGGAAACAACAGCACATTAAACAAAGAATACAGTTGTAAAACAATATAAAGAATTAGAATGGTGGAATCATTGACAGGTGCAGGATCTGAAACTACTTTTAACTCATTATTTTTAAGGTAACTAGATTTCAAGTCATCAGCAAAGCATCCCTTTAAAACTTCAGCCTTGCTTCATTTATGTAAGAGGGCATCCTACTGTGTAAAACTCAGTTATGGGAGCTAAGAGTACACTGAGCTGCCTGGAAATCACTTAAGACTCTTGTAAATGTCGACTGGTGGCATGAAAGTAACAATGTTCATCTATTACTTTTATTTGCTTTTCCAACCAGCTTAACAAGCCCTGCCTTTACACCAAGTTCCTGTCATCCTGATTTCTAACTTTAGCTGTTGTGATAAGACATCAACACACTGGAAAATGGCAAGGCCAGTGTCTAGACTAGCTAGAATATTCCAACTCCTGAGCAGCTGGAAGACTTCCAGCATGTGCACAGCTGAGATTAGATATGAAATATGAAGTTTATATGATACCTGTATATTTTGCAGGATTCCTGTGCTGCTGACACAGAACCAGCCATTTTAGAAGGTGGCAAGCAATTTGGTCTTTCAAGGAACAGCCACATTGCAGTCGCATTTGATGACACCAAAGTGAAAAACAGGTACGTTGTTTATTTCAGCAATGAGTTTTGATGGAATCATGTGAGAATAATACCCCTCTCAAAAGCATGTCCCAAAATTATGGGCTTAATCTGAAAAAGATCACATCCCATGGCTAATTCATTTGATTATACAAACAGAAACAGCACTAAAGCATGAAATCTAGGCAATGAAGTGCCCACCTAAGTAGCTCTCACAAAAAGATTTTACCTCTGTGTTTGTCAAGGTTTGGGCACATACAGATCCCAGACTGATTTGCAGAAAAACAAACAGAAGAATGGAACCAGGTCAGGCAACTGAGTTCATAGGTTGCTTTTCTGGAATAAAGTTTCTTAGCTCATTACCTTGATAATTTTTTGTAATAAGCAAACCTTTTTTTCTTGTTCTGCTGATACTTAAGATCAATCTTGCACAGTAAACAGGCAAAGTGACATATATATACACATATACACATTGATATATAAAGGAATTCCAAGAGCTTTTTATAAAAATACAGCTGTTTTCAATGGATTTGTGAAGCTAGAACTTGTTAATTGTTCATTTTTTGCTGTGATGGAACATGATCATTAACAAATGTGCCATGTCACACCAATGAGCATTTTTGCTGTCTTACAATTTATCTAGTCTATCAATCAGCCTCACACTTATTTTTACCTATAAAGATGCTCTACTGCGTATTTTCACGTATGCTAATTTTAGAAAACTAGGAAAATAATTAAAAGAAATATGCAATCCTACAGTCCTTGCATGTCTTCTTTTCAAATAAGAATCCAGGCCTGATGGTTGTCCTGCAATGATTTTTCACATTTATATTATCAACAGCTTTCAGGTACTGAATTTGCAGCTCATCTTGGACTAGCTTAGTGATGTGCTGCCAGTCCAACCTTAGCATCTAGAGAATCTAAATAATTTCTTCCAGGTTCTCTTTGCTGTAGGGGAGGTTTTTGGCATTACTGTTTGGTCCAAGGGGTTTTTCACAAGATGGCAGATCTCCTCAGACACTCCCATTTTCAGCTGGGAGAAATCAGAATGTGTTTTATATCTTGATTGTAAACTCTACTCTCTGCAACTTTAAAAGTTTTGCAACCTGTCTTCAGGCAATACAACTCATTAGAAACCCAACATTTGCCAGCTGTCACTACAGCTCGCTCCTCTTAGTGAGCATCATGTGTGTGGATGACAGATAACGCCGCTGGAATTTTACAAGCGCTGGGATTTTCTAGCAACTACAGCTGCAGCTAAGAATTGTATCTTGAAATTCTATGCCAAGGTTTCACTTTTGTATTTCCATAGCAAAGGGACTAATGAACTCTCACATGTGAGGGATCATATATGTATGAAATGCAATTCACATATAACCAAATTATTTTTTCTTAAACCCTGATGGACAAGTAAAATGGGCCACTAAATGTAAAGTTTTGGAACACAAAAAGGTAAAGCAGATAAATTTGTCTACTCTCTGACTCTGAATATCTTTTCTTTTGCTTCTCTTTTCCTGTTTGTTTGATTTTCAGACTTACAATTGAATTTGAAGTCCGAACAACAGCTGATTCTGGCTTGCTATTTTATATGGCTCGCATCAACCATGCTGATTTTGCTACAGTTCAGATAAAGAATGGACTGCCTTATTTCAGCTATGATCTGGGGAGTGGAGACACCAACACAATGATTCCCAACAAAATAAATGATGGCCAGTGGCACAAGGTATAATAGTCACTAATGCTAAATTATTCTTTGTGATGCTAAAAGCGAGCTTTGTTTTACCTTAAGATATGTGCAAAAATGTAGTCTATACATGCTTTACAACTACCCATTTCTGTCATCTGCAAAATTTGTCCTTTCGGGTGCACTGTTGAGTGCACAATACATATTCTACTAACAAGAAAAGAATTGCTGATCTTTGAAATTTGTCCTTCAGGACATCATTGAAGCCAGTTGTTTCTTTGTTAATAATGTCACTGTTCAGCCATAATGCTAAGAAGAAAGAAAAGGAAAAAAGAAAAGACTTAAGTAAATCTTCCCTGCATTATTAATTCGGTTCATTAGGGAATAAATATGATATCCATGGATGTACTTGGCAGCCCTTTCAGTGACTTTATGATATACATATCATATATGCATATACAATGCTTGTGGCTTTTGGAGGGTAAGCAAAGGAATAGTATCACAACCATGAAGTTTAGTATTTACTGGGCCAAGGACAACAGACACATAGTGTATTTATTAGGTAACATGCTTGAAGGCACTAGTAAAGATACAGAAGAAAAGAATACATGTAACCATGTATTCAGGTTATATGCTGTAAGAGACATTACATTTTGAACAGATACTTGGAAAGTGACCATCCACATCTCTATCACCAAATGAGAAAAAAATCTGATTGCTTGAATTGCTCTTACCACACTCTCTTTGAAGTAATCTTTAGTCCTTCTTGACTTCATTACCACCCTGTTCCACGGCAACTTTATTTTCACTGGATTTTTATTCATGAACTTTTTGATGATAGCAAATGCTCTAAACCAAGGTATTTAATGAGGCTAAAAAATGAAGTTGTACTCATATTTCTCTGTTTTACATAATGCCTAGGAGCACTGGCAATAGACCAGGGCCCCTTTCTGCTAGATTGTATATAGATACAGAACAAAGATTTTTTGTTGTTGTTGTTCTTTTAGCCATTTTCTCTATGTTCTGAGAGAACTAACTAAAGTATATATTCTTAATGCAAGACTGTACTCTTTGGCATTCAGCTTGGCATTCCAGAAGAGAAGGACCTTTGTTGTAGATCCCATTTTTGTAGGAGAGAATGGAGATAAAATCAGAAGATACAGTTCCCAAAAAGCACAAGGAAGTCCATTTTGGGAGAAGGAAAAGGGCAACCTCTTTAATAAAAGACCACAGTCTTTGTTTTTTAAGAAAGCAAGGGCTTCTGCTTAAAATAAATATTTTAGTGAGAACCTTTTCTCTATTTGAAATGGTTTAAGTTGAAAAGTGCCCATCAGGCCTACAGAAACCACACTGTGCTGCTGCTATCTCTAGGTCCTCTGTAAGACTGTCTGTTCCTAGTTCCTGTCTCACTCACCAAATCCTCCTTCTGCCCAGGGTGTAACTGTCCATCTCAAATTTACAGTGGTCTAGAAACACCAAGTTCAGTCCCTTGCCTTCAGGCCACCCCTTGTCAGTGTTCAGTCGTTCCTGTTGCATGACAGATGTGCTGCCACGCTGAAGCAGAAGCAGCCATGTTAAAGAAAAGCCAAAGAAAAATGCTGTTTCTGTCTCTCTCTGCTACTCTGGTCAGCTAACCGCTGTGCTGTTTAGAAATGTGCATGTTGTATTTTACATTTTATCCCCTTTTTATACAGAATTATAACTATACTGATTTGTAGAGATTTCGGTATAAATCTTTGGAACAAAATCTCCTGCAGTTCTTGGGGTAGAATTTCCTCCACTCTTCAGCAATTGCACTTCCTTCATGCAATTCACAGCCAATTTGTCTGAACAGAAGCCCAACAGAACATAGTTGGTGTTATATTTACTCTAGCATGAACTATGATCTGAGGCACGTCCAAACTAGTGGAATCATAAACTCAATACTGTCTGCAAACATGTGCTGTAATAAAAATTTGCAACTGATGCCATTAATATTCATAATTTACTTTTCCCAGTACTTAAAATTGCTATCTGATTGCAGGAAAAACAATATTTTTGCATGCCTGTGATAGTAACAAGCTTTTTAAAGGAACCCCAAGTCCTTTCAGTAATTCTAATAAATGATAGTCATGATGCCTCCTGACCCAGAGCACCTATATGTTTGCACAAAACCTTCTGCGGTAGCACCGTTCCATGAACATAGTTGCCGCCACAGTACTTCTGCTAACCACTACTACTACTTTCTTCCATCCTGTTATGTATTTTGGATGTAAGGCTAGTTGCAGTCTGGAAGCAGTTATCAGAAAACTTATCTGTAATTGTATTGCATTTGTGTGTCTTTTTAGATAAAAGTAATTCGAACGAAGCAAGAAGGAAACCTTATAGTAGATGATGTTTCAAACAAGACTGTTAGCCCCAAGAAGGCTGATATATTGGATGTTGTAGGAATGCTGTATGTTGGAGGATTGCCCGTTAACTACACAACTAGAAGAATTGGTCCAGTAAGCAAGTTTGTTTAAGTTATCTTACACTCCTTAAGTATGTCATGATTGCTACCAATGTCTTTCCAGTTCTGTTTTGTTTTGCTTTTCCCTCGGACTGCTCAAGAGTATGGATAAACTGGAGCTTACTGGAGGTACACTACATTCTTTCATTGGAAAGATCTGACTCAGAATCCAGTTAATGGAAAGAACTAGAAAGAGCAGAGTTAGTTACTGTTACAGAAAAGCCGAAAGATCCATACACTTGTATTCACTTGGATCAATGAGCAGCTAGAGTTTAAGGTCTTGAATGCTACTTGCCCTTTCTCTTGGCTGTAATTCACCTAGCAGTAAGTACTAATAAACACTGAAAGCATCTCCTAAGAGAAGCAGTAGAAGCCAAAATTACCCTGGACAAAGTACCCGGTAGTACAGCTGCTTACTCTGGTAATTGGTTTTGTGTTGTTATTACTAAGCTAAGAGAGAATGTATTTTGAAGTAAGGTCATGAAAACTCTGTTGTCCTCTTTCTGTTTCCAAAACAAATGTGTACATTTCAGTTTATCACTGTTTCAGTCTAAACACCCAGCTTCCATGTTGACACAGAAGATACCTTGGCAAACAGAGAGCCCACGGAGGTGAATATAATTTTGGCCTAAACGTTGTAGGATTAACTAGGAATACTGTATTCCTACACCTAGGCCATTTATGGCATATAACCACACAACTCCATGTCAGTTATCTCGCTTTCCTGTTGTTCTCCCACTTCCCAAGACGTGCCAGTATCAGAGAAAACTTCTTCCCTGCATTATTTTTTCTCTGCACAGAAGAGTCTTCCAAAACAGAACTCAGAACTTGAGTGAACTTAATTATAGCAAAAAAGAAAATAGGCATACAGTACAGCACAATGTGGACAGAAAAACTGGAATGTTAGTAGCGGCTATGTCTAGGCTCATTCTAGGTGGTTATACAGAATCAGTAAAGAGGAGGTAAAAGCACAGATCCTAGCAAGGAAACAAACCAGACTCTCAAAGAAACTGCACAAGAGTAAGTACCGTTCTAGTAAGTGTATTATGGAATGGTGAATACTAGTATATAGACAGGCAAGAGTCCACCAGTTCAACTGGAGAAAAGGAATTCCTAGATCCTGCTTAAACAGGTCAGTATAATAACTCAGAGATTGGGAATAAAGAGGAATAATAACCACTCTAGATCTGAGAGTTGTGTTCTAGAAAGAAAACTGACCAGATCATATTTCTTAACAAATTTTGGATTGTGCAGAAAGACCAAATTGATCATTTGGATTTACCAAGGCAGATCTGAGGCACTGAAAAACAAAAGCAATGCTTATCTACCCAAAAATATAATTCCTAATACTATCAAATTATGCCCTTTGAAATACATCCGCAATTTACAAATAGTAATCTAAGGAAAAAGGTAACAATAAATCTTTACCGATTGCTCCTTGTCAGAAGTAATGGAGGGAACCCAGATACAGATAAATGGCTCAGTCTGGCAATAATAGTCATGTCAGATCCTGACAGTCTTATGTGCTTTGGGATTTAAATGAAGCTGTGACTTCAAATGTCATTCACAGAAGGTAAAAACCAGTGCTTGCCTTTCAGTCATTCTCCATAAAATATACCACATGATGTATTTACAGAGTGTTTTTTTGTGGGATTCATGTAAAGGCTTTGAAGCAAAGTAAGTTGAAAGCATGTATTATCTTAGTTAGGGCTTTCTGCTAAATACACATCAACCTTTTTAGACACTAATTTAATACATAACTATAGGTGGGCTGGCTTCCTGTTCAGTGAAGGCTGATACCTACTTATTTGGCTTCAGCAGATGTCACATTTTAAGCACTCAAAACTCTGCTATCAGCAAAATATGTTATATTGCCTGTTACCATGCTAAAGTATAACCAGATTTGCTTCTCCATGGGGAAAAAGTTAAATTTTGAAGTTAGAGAATGGTACTGAGTTGTCGACAGATCCTGCATTTCTATGATTTATTCTCTCAGTGAAAATGGCAAGCTTTGTTTTGTGGCATTTTTATTTTTAGTAACAAAACTTATTGATATGTAGGTGACTTTTTCTTAGAAATTGGAAAAAGGTCTATTTATAAAGAAGCTGACAGAAAGCTTCGCTGGGCTCAGAACTGAATTGATTCATTGATGTTGCTTAAGTTCTCATTAAAATTTTGTACAGGTGTATTGAGAAGTAATAAGTGGTATAATTCCACAGCACATCCAGCTTTGATTTACAAGGAAAGAAATTATTTGGAAATTCTTTCAAATTACTAGTCAGGATATTGTTAGAGGAGGTGGTGTGCAGAGTCAAGGCTTCCCTCTGCAGTGTGCCTTTCTCCTTTCCGTATTTATACATAGTTCTACACTGTATTTTCTATGCTGTTTTTTTAGTTTCTTCCTTCCTACTTCATTGCTTATGAATGTCTTCCTTTTCTTCCTCAAAGTACATGCTTATCATTTTCCTCTCTCCCACTGATACCAGAGATAAATCTTCCTAACTCTTAAGTCAAAGATCAAAGCCTTTGTCTAAAGCTGAGAACCAAAAATGCAGCTGCTGCAGACCTCAGAGAGAAGAGGGGGAGAGCTGTGGGGGTGGTTCACAGGAGATGCCAGTGACTCTCAGAAGTCCCACTAGGATGGCTCGATCACACAGCTGAGCCCTGGGGCAACCCGGGGTGTAGCCTGGGCAGCCCCTCACTCCTGCCCCAGCAGGACCTCACTTACTTACACCACCAGCTTAAGTCTGCACATCCCCCCCACTCGGAATCACAGTGATGTGCTCCCAGCTGGGAGCTGCATTTTGCTACCCTGCACAGGAGGCTCCATACACCCAAGCACATCCTCTGCCTCTACCTGCTTCTCTGGCCAATAGAGTGGCCCTTGCCACTGTGCCACCAGCCCTATATACAGTTAGTATACAAAGAGTACAGTCAACCATTATAGGAAGAGTAAGTCAACAACTTTTATGTAAGGGCTTTGTTCATTTTAGTAGCTGTGTACTTGCATTAGCTCAGCCTTAACATGCAACATTAGGCCCATACTAAAGTGATTAAAAGGGAAAAAAATTTTAAAAAGCCCTAGTAAAATTAGCCCCAGTAATTACCAGCAGCCCAGAGAACTATATCCAGTATCTTCATCTACTCGCAAACCCCATAAACTAGTCAGTTAAAAAGGTAAAGTATAGGCCATTAAATTCCTGCATTGCTGATGTAATTTGCTCTGTTTCATTATGCAGTGTATTATTTTATGTCCCCTCCATTAGACCAAATAGATGTGACTCAGATCACATCCCTGAAAAGTAATGTAATTCATCCTCAGTGTATCTGAGATTAGATTCCCATTACAATCAGGATTAGCCATGTAAAAGTCAAGTTTTATTCAGCTCCATAAATCCAGCAGAGAAGCGGAGGAAAGGTACTTTTTGATGATGTACTTCAGGCCTTTATTCTGAGCATTTTGCCTTGCTTTGCACAGTTATATGTTTTGTTTGAAACATTGAATGCAGGTCACCTACAGCATCGATGGCTGTATCAGAAGTTTTAAAATGACAGAATCACCTATTGACCTGGATAATCCAACTTCCAGCTTCAATGTTGGAAAATGCTTTGTCACTGCACAGAAAGGAACGTACTTTGACGGAACAGGCTTTGCCAAAACAGGTAATGAACACC